AAACCTAACGTAACGACAATCTGGTCTCATATGCTTCTGGACCCAGACGTTTTACACTGATTAAATCATATCGGGGAGAGTCCAGTTCAAACCAGTCATCCAGTACATGGGCCGCACCATTTTTTGAATGGGGGTGTTCCGGACTGAAATAGATGACGTAGGTTTTAAGGCACTTAAATGATGGTTGACATTATGCCAGTCCAACTTCTCTACTGTACTCAATGGTCTATTGTCAACTAGTGCACTATCACCAGGCACACTGTAATATCTTGCTTAGTATCCACCAAACTAACAACGCGGGTTCAAGAACAAAAACAGTAAAATTAAGCTATTAGCTAGTGGAGGGGGGGGGGTGCCACCACCATAGTAGTGTTTATTTGCCCGCGTCGTGAAGGGGGAAGGAAACCCTAACGGTGAACTCACTCCAATGGGCATTTTACCAACATAACCTCCTTTAAGAAGACCTGGTGGAGGCTACCATTTGCCTCGGAAAGATGGTTACAGTGCCTGCCTGTGGGTTGGTCACCACCAACTGCCCACCCGGTCCCAAAGCAATGCCCCGCGGTCGTGCAACGCGAACGACGGTGCGTACAAACTTCCCAAGGCTTGTGAACATGGCCACGCTTCCCGTCCCGGTGTCAGCCACGAAGATATGACCGGAGCCGTCCACACAGATACCCCGGGGAAAGTGCCGACGGTATTCTCCTCTTAGCGCGAAGAATTCGTACAACCATCGCCCTCGGTGATCGTACACGTGAACACCGTAGGACGAAGCAGCTTCAGAATACTGGCGGTATTTTGCTGCGGCTGTTTGCGTCACAAGAATGTGCCCTTCGTTGTCCACGGTGACGGATGAAATCAGCAGGCCTTCCGCCCCAAAGCTCTGATGGAAGGAGCCGTTTGGATGAAAGACGCAAAGTTGGCTCGAACCAGCCACGATGATTTTGTTATTGGTCGCGTCCACTGCAATACTTGGGTAGTACGTAGTTGACATTTGTAAGTCGAATTTACTCAGAGGATGACCGTCCTTTCTGTACTGCACTACATACACATCCCGTTTGTACAAATCTTTCTTCAACGCCACCCAAAGATGTTCGTCTGAGGAAATTGCGACATCGAAAGGGTGCATTGTTTCGTTTTCACCCGGCACTACCGTTGGGAAGAGACGGAGGTGTATTCCGCCCATGTTGTACACTTGTATCCGTTTGTTGAAGACATCAGTCACAAATATCTCCTCATCAGCCGAGATGGCCACTCCAAGGCTTTCGTCAAATTTGCCAGGATCTTTCCCATGTCCACCAAAGACGATCTTTCCCACTCTTCCACGGGTTTCTGCAAGAGGAGATCACGACGTCATAACGCCCTACATTTCGTAAATGTTCCGCAAATTTACTTGAAAATTTTGTAGGAAAGTAATTGCACATTGCTTGGCTGTTGATAGTGATTTAACAATGACACAAGAACAAGAATGGGGGACCGTTTCTCATTCTGTAATTATTCTTTATTATCCCATATACATATGTTGACCAGCCCCTCCAACTCTGCCCTACTATTTGCTACATAATGTACACAGGGTTCCTCCTACAGCACTTGGTCTAGTATCATAGTGACAATCCAGGTCATCGACCTTACATGTTTGGAGAAGATTAAGGAGAAAGAGGGGGAAGAGGAGGAGGAGAAACTAAGAATACGAAATAGTAACAACAACATTCTGCGAAGGTTAACACAATAAAGTTACCTAGTGAGCTGGTTGGGACTAATGGTGATGTAGATGCTGTTACCATAGGGATACTGCCCGGCGGTACCTACAAAACGACATCAAGATCAGCTGTTTGTCATGTCATAACATTTCCTCATGAAAGAGATAGGTGGCGCTGGATAAAAGATATATTCCCAAGGTATCGTGAGAAGATACTTCGGTCATCTCTTTTTAGGGAAAATTTCATTATGATTTAAACAAGGTGTGGGGTCGTGTGGCGTAGCGGCAGAGTGCGCGACTCGGAACTAAGAGTCCCGGGTTCGAGTCCTGACATGCCACCGATCTTGTGCCCTTGGGAAAGGCACTTTACACGACTTTTCTCACTTAGTTCAGATGGAAATGAGTATTGTCCTGTAATGTATTTGTCCCCTGTGTTGGTGGCGGCATTAATATAAGTTGAAGAAACTTGAGTGTGTCATCACCACGTCTGGTGATTACATGTTGGAATAAAAAAAAAACAACAAGATGTCTACGATTAAGCTGCCGATAGTAGCTTAAGACGAAGCTCACCGTTGTAGATTCTTGTATGGTGGTGTTTAAGGCCAAAGAGGGCTCACCGGCAGATGTTATCTGTAGTAAGTCGATATGAACATTATCATGTTACTTGCCATGTCATGGCAAAGCGATAGGTGGCACTGCCCAACAGAGGTATATATTGGAATTATAGTATGAGAAGACTTTTCGTATATCGTTTGGGTACGACAATGTTCATTATAATGTATACATGATTTGAACAAGAAGTTTAGGTCAGCGAGAAGACAGTTTGTAACCTTTTGTTAGGACAGTGTGGCAAAAATGTGCAAAAACGGCGTCATTCATTCATTCATTCATTCATAATATTAGGCTATATGTGACAAGCTGCATCACGTAGTTGGAGCATAAACTTACCTTTGTAGTTTCCTGCATGGTGGAGTTGAAGGCGGGTACCCCCTTGAAAAACAGGAAGAAGAATATTCCACCGAGGACTAGGAGAGTGGCCGTTGATATAGGTGGGCACATTCGGTAACTTCGACATCCTAACATAGTAAGCAATGCCAGTGCACCAGAAAGAAAATAAACAGTCTAAACGAGATGCTAAAATAGATAGGGAAAAGTTACAATGACAAATGACAAAACTTCATAAACGATAATCTGCAAAGAAATGTTCTATTTGTAGAAAGAACTTCACAAACAACACAAGAAAAGTAGTATCTGTGGGATGGCAATCATATCTAAATTGATATTTAATGGCTAGGGGTCAAACCTCCATACAAAATATACCGAAAATTATTCACCACCTTTTGTGTTACCTAGCTCTATACCTAGAAGTGATCACCGTTAAAGAAAAAGAAAAGCAACCAAATGTATGGGAATCTTACCAGAATCCTCTTGTTGTGGCACGTATATAGGATTTTTGATGAGGTTATTTGGCGCAACAACGGCTGAAGCGTCAGCATCATTCCTTAATGAGTTACATCGTGATGACATCTTCGATTCGTCATTGTCTATGTCTAAAGCCGTTGCTCCCCTATGAGAAGGAAGCCTTGCCTGAGTTTCTTCCGAACTTGTCCTGTCATCCTGACCTATGTACGCAACGGCGTATGGTTGAATATTGACGTCATCTGGAGCGATACGACCTGCAGCATTACTTCTTGTGGTCATATCATCATCGTTATCCTGATATCGAACGGCATAAGGCTCGATACGGAAGCTGTCTTCAGTGTCGGCTTGCCTGGAGTCTGTTTCCTCATTTCCAGCTGCAATGTCTTTCGTCGCACCGTCTCGTAGATTTTCTTCTCCCCTTGCTGCAGTCGCCAGATCTCCATCATCTACTAGCGAAGTCTCGATAATTACATTTGGCTCTGATGTTCCTAGGCTCTCCGGATGAGGGTTGTGGATACGAACGTTTGGCATCGCCTTGTCGTTGTGCGTGTTTTGGTCAGAGCTCAGGACAGTCTGTGTGTACATCGTATTTGGATTGCTGTAGTTTTGTATCGGATTTTGATATAGTGTATTAGGGCGATGTTGAATGTCAGGCACGTTACTGGCATACGGAACAAAACACACAGTGGAGGCCTCAATCTTGGATGGGGCGGTCGGTGTGTCTGGAACGCCATCGCTGCTGCCAGAAACCGGTTTTAATGAATCAGCTGGTTCAGTTTCCCCCGCGCTTGCCGTAGAGGCCACCATGTTGCCCTCGTTTGCAGAATCACGCCGATCCACATCGGCAACATCCGTGGTGGTTCTGGGGGCAGCGCCGATTTCTGTAGACATGTCCCCTTCCGGTCCATGCGTAACCGTAACAGCACACGGCGTGGTACACGGATTGCCGCCACTGTCAGCATTCGCACCGGCCGGTTCGCCGCTTCCAGTTTGCAAACGCGCTAGCGTCGTCTTCTCTTTCTGGAAATAACTCATGGATACCTTTTGTGCGACGTCGCCATCATCTTGCAACATCTACAGACATTAAAAAAAAAACTACATTTCTACAAAGATACCAAAACCCACTTTTCATTAAAAAAACGTGGGAATATTCATTGACCGCTGTCTCGAAGAAGTCAAACTCTCAGGTAATGTGTAGGAACATAATATTTACGATTTTGGCAACGTGCACACCACAATAGCAATCTACGTGACAGGTAAGCTACGCGACAACACTTGTGGAATGTAATAATGTACCTGTGGACACACCGTGCCACTGATTACACACCAGGAGAAGAGATGCAATCAGAACCAACTGTCACACAGACATTACAACACGAAGACATGCTTATGGAATGTGCTGATATGTCTGGGGTGGAGGTGAGGGTTCATATTGTAGACTGGAAATATGCCATATTTTCTGTACAATTTTCAGTCGAACTAAGGCCACGGCAAGTAATTTTAATGGATGACATCAGCGTGTGCATTAATTTTCGCCTGATTTTGAGAAAAAAAATGTTGCCTTCTGTCAACATGTCGTAAATGGGCAATGATTTCTAGCTGTTGCCATGCCGGAACGTGGATGGCAGATAAATATGAAGAGAGGAGGCAAGACAATGCTTTAATTTAATGTTTTGCCTTTTACTTTGATGCAGTGATGTATTTCATTCCTTGTATATGTGATGGTGGCTGTGAATATGTGATGTTCTCACTGAATCAAAACCATTTGTTCAATGATTGAAAACTTTTGTTTTTCAAAGTTGTTTCAGTGAGAAATGGATGTCGTAAATAGTTGGCAGTAAACATAGCACAATATACGTATTATTTCTTATTTAACAAGGTTTTTAAAATCAAAATTTGAAAATGTAGGAACCTTGTTCTTTTAGTCCGCCTATTTTCGCCCTTTCGCATTAGATTTGGAGTCTGCAGAGGATGTCAATCATAAGATTTACTTGCAGTGGCCTAAACTGGAATTTCACACAGGTTTTTCAACCATTATTTGTTAGGGCTTAACATTATGTCCAACACATACTCCGACTTGCAGTTAGTTAATTACTTGACTTGGGTTTAGTCCATGGTGTCTAGGATTCTGATTGATTCATAACATTGCATTGAAAATTTTCTGTCAATAATTCACAGGATCATCTTGCCAATAGTGCAATTTTCCAATATAAGCCTCGCACGTGTAAGAAAGCTCCAATATTTTATGACCTACGAATTTCGTTCACAAATAATGTACATTTCCCAAACCGAAGGATGTAGAGATGTTTTCAATTCAAATGTGGTGACTGGTGATCTTTTTGAAAAGGCCGTCATGTAACATTAGACAATGTACAATGCCTTACTGCCCAGTGAGATGTCTGTTGGTAGTTCACCGAGGTTTCTGTAAAACCTCATACCAGAGTTTTTGCAGTTTTGGAGGGGAAAATGTTACATATTGAACCGTTAAAGAAAATGACAAAATTTCTACTCACGGTGCACGGGGTTTGGTTGTGATGGGAGTCCATGTCGTCTTTAGAATCAACCTCGGTAGAACACAAAACGTTGGGTAGGGAAAGACAGAAGAGACTAGATCCAGAGCTATTTAATCCTGTCTGTCTGCCTGCTATCAGATGAAAATAGTACACGTCTGATCTTTTATTCACCATGTGGGACGTAGCATTTCTTCCGGATGTAACGGACAAGTATTGTTTTTTTTTATCTTACTTATAAAACCTATTCCAATGGCATGCAATCAGCGACAGGAGGCAGCAAACGTACTTTATTAGATCATAAGACATCATGAAAGTTTGTGCAGTCAAAATTTGTCTTGGGAACCACTACGAAAATTGGTTGCTGAAGAGGAGTGGTTACTTCAAGCCCCTGTCACGTATAGCCTAATATGGCCTCCCGACCAGCATGGTCGGAAGTAGGTCGGGAGCAAGGCCGACTGTGGTTGGCTGGTGTTCAGCAAGGTCGACGGGAGTTCGGGTTATGATTGTGGACTGGCTGGTTGAGAAGTGCTAGCTGTTGTTTACTTGAATTTCGCAAGGTGGTACCACGTACAGTTCAGAACCTCTTCGTGTGTGGGAGGTGTGAAAACTAATGTGACCAATCAATTGATTGACCGTCCCTTTCATTAATTACAGATTCAGCTGCCTCTATCAACGATATTCAAACAAAATGCCTCTATCATTCTATGAATAGTACAGAACACTACAATGAAGCAAAAATTCCCATTACCACAGCTTTATTCGAGAAAGATAAAATTAAGTACATTGCCTCAATTTTTCCTATCAACTCTATATCATCCTGCATAAAAGTACTAGAATTACTATTACCTGCCAAGACTCCACTCAATTGATTTTGAATACAACATTTCTGCCGATTTTATCCAACAATAAATCCCATATTTCATCCTCAAGTTAGTTACTCTTTGATTCGATTAAAAAAAATATTTGTGCAAGCGTTTCAGTTTCTTTGAACAACAATCGCTCTTAATTCACCGATGCTATTGACTAGATACTTAGTACATAGCTACGAGTAAGTGCTACGGACATTCACAATTAACGAATGTGGTGATAACTACATCACTTAACAGACTTTATGAGAGTATTAAATTTCTCATTGGGTTGTGAAAAATCTGCTTTGTCTCATCAGGTCACTCTACTTTGTGGCCGAGTCATCGGGATTTGTCCTCTGTAGACTCGGCAATGGTGCGGGGGACTTCCCATCAATCCTCGCGCATCATGCTGGCCTACTTGCCGAGCAGGGCTTGGACGACATCTGTGTGAGAAAACACCACTTAATAGTTTGCAGCAGTAATGTTACATTAGTCCGTTTGTTCTTTGTTATCTTGACATTGTCACCGAGTCTTGATAATGAATGAATGAATGTATGTATACAGTATGGAAGCCTTTGCCATTGTTTTGTAATATGTTGATGAATTAAAAAGAAAGCCTACCATATATGCAGAACATGATAGTCCCGGTCCACTGTCCATTTCTGCACTGTCGGTAAGGGCTGCCGGACTGGTACCTGTACCCGGACGGACACCTCCACCAGCAGGCCTCCCCATGCACGTACGGCGGGTAGCAGTTGTACATGATCGTGCCAGGTGCGGTGTAGGGTGCCCGGCAAGACGCGTACACTGAAGAAAGAAACAAAAATTAAACATTTGTGGGGTCTTGTGGCGTAGCGGCAGAGTGCTTGGCTCGGAACCAAGCGGTGCCGAGTTCGAATAATTCAATGCCACCAATCTTGTGCTCCAGGGAAAGGCACTATACACGACTTAAGATATTCCTCACTTGCCTCAGGTCAAATTGTCGAAATCCGTTTCGATTCGTATAGAAAGGAAGGCATGGCCTAAATCTGGTCAGACTGTTTCGAACGTCGACCGAACCTGGTCGGCTGTTATTCGGGAACAGACTCGGGAAAGGTCGTGCAAGTGTGACAGGGGCTTAAGCTAGTGCCATATTTACCGGGAACGCTGATGGAGCGCCTGCGGGTATAGTAACTCCGACGGCGCCGATACCACGACCGTCTCCGGGACCACGCACCCGTCTCCAACACCAGGGCACAAACCAGCACAAGCACGAAGACAGTCCGAAATCTGGAGCAGTGAAAAGGATATTGGTACACATTGAGTTGCTACTGCGAAGAGGCTATAGTTAGATTAACAACAAGCAAAAAATATCATAAAATGCATTGTCACAAGATTTTCACCTATGGATGAGGGTGGTATGGCCCGATAACTAATTAGTATTCCTGATCATATGCCTAGACATGTATGGTCACACCTGCCTTAGGCGCTCATCCATCGACAGGTCACTGTGCACTAAATCTGATGACATTTTGGGAACGGACATATAGCTAACAAGGCTGGGCTATTGCCAACCGATAGATTATTGTCAGAGTGACTAAAAAACTCTTTTGACATTGGACAGTTCAGAATTCTTTTCAAATAAGTTTTTTTGAATAATTTTGGCTCGCATCATAATATGGACGGTAGGTACATTTCTGAGCAAGCCTTGGCGTATTGACGTCATTGCTGTAATGTGACAAAGCTTCGGCGATAGGAGATCGGAATCACGGAACGTTTTCTTCAACTTGATATCATCTAGTGCACTGGTCTAACGTGTTAAGGAATAGAGCAAGATACTACTGACGAAAATATCTCCCTCGCACTGTAAAAAAATCTGTCAAACGAATTACATTTGCTTGAGATAGTTGCCTACATCGTCCCCCGAACTAGGTTAGTCATAAGCCCATGTCACACATTCACGGCTTGCCCCGAATCTTCTCCCAAACACCAGCCGACCAGGTTGGGCTACGTTTGGGAGAACTCTGACCAGATTTAGGCCAAGCCTACCTTTCTATACGAATTGTGACGGATTTAAGTTAAATTGGAGTCAAATTTGGTCCTTGAACAAGCCCCGAACACTGATGACCTACGTTCGAATGGTTCGCATGTGGTTTGCTGAATTACTGTCGAAAACCAGTCAACTATGATCGAACCTCCCGAAAACCTCACGAATGTTTTAAACATTTTGAAACATTCGCCTGGTGCAGCCGAACTTAAGCTGAATTCGCCGAACGCCAGCCGACTTTGCGCCGACCCACTCCAAACCATGGTCTGCGGGCGTTCAGTTAGCGTTCGGGATGCCAAATAAATTCGTGATCGTGTGACAGGGGCTTTAGAGAGGTCATTCTGAGTTTTACATCCACAGACCTGCGCCAAGCTAGCATCACAGAAGTACGCATCACTCGGGGCGGCCTGTTTCGGCTCAAGAAGAGCCAAAATAGAGCATGCACAGCAAGTTCTTTCCGTAGGATTGAACAAAATGTAAACAAAATACCTAGGTCATCCAGGTACAAAAAGTAAGGTTATACGTTCCACATGAAAAGAACAGCAAAGCATAGAAAACAAAGCTCACCCCATGGTAAAGTCGTACGTGGGAAATCGCAATGTCGCGACCGTATCTGATGAAGAGCGCGGTTCTGTGCACCTGTGCGCAGGAGGAAGGGGTTTCCTCATTTAAACCTCCTTAGCAGGAGGAAGTGCTTCAAGGAAATGATTTAAATGCAAGTTGCCAGAATGATGCATAATTGTCTTTGCTCATCCAAGTGACATCAGATACTGAATATTCATGAGAAGACATAAGGAACTCTTTGTTCCCTAGTCCGAACGTTTAAAAACGTCATAATCGTTTTCTCGGTAAAGGAAATATGACATCATATCATACCGATCAGACATATTGTTCAAACTCGTCCAACCGATCCAAACTACTAAATATTCACGAGGGATTGAATGGAGCCGTTGTTTTATATGAATATGCATGAGCGAGGGGAATCCCCGAAAAAGTTTTGGCCAGAGAGTGTGGGCTGTCAGCTTGACATATTCCTTGCTCGGCTGCACAATGCTCAAAAGACTGTCTGCTTGAGCATGAAAAGGTTAATATTTCAAACTGGAAAAGCGCTAGCACCTTTCAAAACTGGTAGGGGATAGCTTACAGTACTATTAACATGTTAAGACCATGAAGTAATCTTTAGGTACACCTTTTCGTCTTCAAACTGCACAAGTGAACGGGGAATGGGTCAGGCTTGGCGTTTGCAGCCTTGACTTCAAAACTGGGCTAACTCTGTCGCTCGGCTGCACAAGGCACGGAAGCAGGAAAAGGCTAATATCTCGAACTGTAAAAGTTCTACCAAGGATCTATTGAAAGTCCATTGATTTTAGCACATTTCAAAAGATGATTGAGTAAGCTTTTGGTACAGAGTTGCTACCTCGAAAACAGAGAATGGGTGGCTTGTCATCTACAGTAAAATTGGGTTGACCTTCGCGCTCTGTTGCACAAGGCTCGAAAACCTGTCTGCTTGAACGTGAGGTAAACTCAAGTAACCCTCTGTGGGATCGACCTTGTCAAGCTAAAGATGGGGAGGGGCCGAGGGGGGCATTGGCGGTTATAGTTTAAAAACGCTAATGCTGTGGAGGAGTTGTTGTGGATAAAAACGATAAAAACAAGGTACATTATACCATAAATACTTTTCATGTAAAACGAGTCTTCCTCATAGTCAGTGGATTCCTTCGTATCGAGAATTTGAGACAGACGGGGGGGGGGGACAGACTCAGACTGATTGACTGACTAACTGACTGACTGACTGACCGACAGACAGGCAGAGACAGAGAAAGAGAGACAGACAGACAAAGACAGAGAGCTAAACCTTATTTACACGTACAGTTAAAATATGTGTTCAACCATAACCAGTAGGTTGTCTGAGCATGGATGTTGTTGGTAATGTGTAAGATGTTTTAAACCTAAAGTTCATTCCCCTCGTGATTGCACAATCTTGAATCTGTGTTGCATCAGAACCGATCGGACGACTTTACCTAAAGGTGAGACATGAATATTCATAAGCAACGTTACTTGTGACAGATTTAAAATGAACAAAATAGTCAGTGTAACCGATTTCTAATGCTCTATATTTATTGTAATTTATGTTGTGAAGACTATATTGTTTTACACCATAAACCTGTATCAGACCGTATCCATGCATGTACACAGTCGTATCCCGTAGTGCGAAGTCTCTGAGTACAGTTTAGTCTCTTTAAGTACCAGGTAGTAAAATGGTCTTACTTTGTATCGTATTAAATCATTGTACAATAAAGATACCATCCTTATACCTATTAAAGAACAGTGCATTGATATGCTTTACGCCAGATACGAAATGTACCAAATAAGCAAGCAAGCGAAATCACAGGTTTCTATTTTTTATTGATGTTGTTGGCGTTACCGTCGTCATGCATATTCATGAATACAATTTTTCTAAAGGTCATAAATGAATATTCATGTAAGCAACGTCACTTGTGCTAAATTTAACATGGACAAACCAATTAACTTCAGTGGAGACGTTTTCATGCTTTACTAAGTATGAAAAATCTATCCTCATTTACTATGGTGAAGACTATGTTACATGTATGCTTCCACCATAACACCTGAATGGTATTTGCAAGTAATGGAGAAAGTTACGTGTTCTAAAAATAAAGTGTTTTTAATGACTGACTTGGTTGTTTGTCTCCCATTGATTGCGCAACTTTCAACCTTCATTGCGTGAGAAAGATGGCAAAAAACAACGTACGCCAAAACTACAGCTCCACCCATGGAAAAAGTTTGGGGACTTTACCGTGGTCATGCATATTCATGAACACACAATGGAAACGTCATATTTCTCATTAATATTCACAACCTGAGCGAACTGGAACAACGCAGTCCTTATATTGAGACATTATGTCATGATTCCTTTACCAAGAACCCAATTATATTCGTAATTAAGACGATATTTATATCATGCATGTGTGTTACACCTCGATCAGTCTGGTGCTACGCTTCAACTTCACAGCCACCGTGAACGTCTAGTCCAAGTGTGCGACAACATGAGGTGAGGCTTTATGCATGCAATATTTAGAACGATAGGGTGAATTTCATACTCGGGGATTGATATTTATTTGATTGGTGAGACGTTGGGAAAATCCTTATCAATTTATAGGTTGTTTTTGAGGTTCTCAATAGAAATACCGGGTAGCCACAGAAATATTGACGAAAAAAGTTCGCGTTGGGAAAAAAATGACTGGGCAACATTGTTGACATTGCAGTTACTGACATCTAATCATTTTGTTTCTTAACTCAAATGTCGATTCAGCTATATATTGTTATTTCAGTTTATAGTTTTTGCTTCTTTGTTTATGTTTAGTTGTGGAGAAGTCATCGGAAAGACAAAATTGGTATTTGCCTTCCCCCAGCACACTCTTCTTATGTATTTTCTTCTTTATATTGGGTTTCATCATTTATCTATGTGCGAATAAAGAATACAATACATTAATATTTACACGCAAACTCAAGTGAATGTTCAGTTACGTTTTCTGTGCACATGTCATGTAACCTTGTATGTAACCTTTTTTCTCATTTACAAAATGTCCCCCCTTTTCCCTCATCCAGGATTTGGTTGGTCGTTTTCCTATTTTGCGCCTTGGTCTGGCAGTCAGAAGCCTGGAGGAGGCGTCGTCGTCGTAGGACCACTTCTAGTAAGCGATAATGTTATTATGTGGCATTTTTATTTCAATTCAAACTAAATCAGCCTGCCAAACATTGTCTTAATTGAGTTGAATACAATCCGATGGGTGCTGCGTCATGCATAAGCCGTAAGTGGAATCACACAGAATTAAGTGTAAACATCAACTGTCAGACTGCTTTTAAGTGTTTTCAATTTAACTTGAAGCAGGCATTGGCCCACGTTACGAACGGTAATACCTTTTAGATTCTCATAACTGTTTTTTTCTGCTACTCCAAATCCAGGGTGCTGGTCGTGGCCGAGTAAAGGGACTCACGTGACACGTTACGGATGTAGCTGGCCTTTCCACCACGGGGAGACCTGTAACTTCGCCTGTAAGAGTGGCTACGGCTACCACAGCGGCAGCTCCAGTCGGCAATGCATTAACGGGGCTTGGACTGGATCCAAGTACATCTGCAGGCGTAAGTTTTATGTTTTCTATGTACTGCCAGATTCTGACATTAAGAATTTTGACTGGTAGACATTGAAAACAATGATATTTTTGTTTGATGTTAAAAATGCGTGCAATCCGGCTGTTTGACCAATGGATTAAAATCCGTGAAAAGGTTGGCGGGGTTCGATCCTAGAGTCGGAGAGGGCTTGCATTCGTTATTTGTTAGGGATTGCATTCGCTCATTTTCACTTGAGTGAAGTGAAGAAAGTCATGCCTTCTCCAATGGCACATTATTGGGACATGCTGGAGGATACGAACCCGGGACCTATGGGGCCAAGGCCAAACACACAACCATTAAGGATTAAGCCACACGATCCCATAATGATAATTGAACTTGTTGAACTTGAATGATTGTGAATGATTGTTGAACGTCCAAATTGGTCGTTTTTATCTTTCTGTTACCACTCAACCTTAGTTACAAAAACTTAATATTGATTAGATTAATATCACATTTTTACAGGCTGTACCTTTCCACCCCTCATGATCAATGCCGTAAGGACGGGGTGTGCATGGCCGTACCTGGTTAATGAGCAGTGCAACTTCGCCTGTAAGTCCGGCTACACCTACGTCAGCGGCAGTTCAATCAGGACTTGCCAGAACAACAATGGGCTGACGGGACATTGGACTGGATCAACCTACATATGCAAGAAACGTATGTTAAGCTCTAACACTGTTATGATCTATTGTCATTATAGTAACTCAGCTGAGAGCGGCGTTATTTTATCTGCATTTGCCCCTCATAAAGCTTTCAGTATTTTCAATGCTGTTTTCTTTTTATACACCACTACAGACCAACGTTAATGTTAAATGCAGGATTCAACCAGTATGCGAATGTTATTATTAATGAATGTTAGGAAATACATTTGTACGTTTTTACCGAAAATTGCACAATCCTTGATTTCAACTTGCACAGAATGGTTGAGTGTGTCAATGACTAAATATTCCTGATTGAATTAGTGGCATTTTTTAATCTCTCGTTCGCTCACGGTCTGTCTATGACCTTTAAGGACATACTAGGACCTTGTACTACCGCATTAGTAGTAGTGCTTGGTGCTCGGGCAAAGTGGGGGTGGGGGGAGTAAGACTATGAGCACTATGTTTGAGGTGTCATGGCGGTGTCATGAGTTCAAGCTGGATTTATTTTAATCTCTGCACCTTGAAATCATGACCTTGAAGTTCAAGGTCATGATTTCAAGGTGCAGAGATAAAAATAAATCCACCACCGATATTTCAAGGTTTTCAGTATTTTATGATTTATCATTTTCTTCCAACGTTTTATCTACCAGGCTGTCTTTTTGGACCAACATTGCCTTGGCATAATGTTGTAAAGTTTAACTGCGGCTCGCCCTACGACATCGGAGAGACGTGCGACTTCCAGTGCAAGCCTGGATACATATATGACAGCGGAGACGCCCAGAGGACATGCACCACAAGTGGTTGGGATGGTTCTCCTTACAAATGCAAAGGCGAGTATACATATACGTAGATATGCGTTAATATCTACACGATTGTGCAATTTCTTGGTTTCTTCAGCATGTCAATGCCTCGATTTTGCCTGATTTCCAGTTAACTGATGGGCAACATCATGCATGCATTGGTCTCGTTCTGGTTAGAAATGTAAATAAAGTTACAAAGTCTATCCTTGTGGAATTGTATTGACTATTCCGGTCGTTATTATTCAGCGCACGACATTTGATAGTCTGATTTTATTGCAATATGTCGGCAGCACAATTCAGTGTTTATCAACAAAGAAAACATAAGATGTATATGCAAGAGGTTTGAATCCTGTTTCGGAAACATCACTTACTGTAAATACTGTAAACATCATTTACTGTAAATAGAGACCTTGATTCTATCATGGATGAATATTGCAATGTTTACATATACTTTCATCTATGATTACCAGGCTGTCCCTGGCTACCCGTTCAACCATGGTCTGGGTTGAATGTTGTGAGGAGTGGTTGCTTCCTTCCCTACCTAATCGGAGAGACCTGCAACTTTAGGTGCAAAGCTGGATGCATACACCTAAGCGGCAGCTCTTCTAGAACTTGCACTGCAACAGGGGAATGGACTGGGACTTCCACCATGACGTGCGTATGCCCAGGTACGTATTCTTAGTTCTTTGATGAAATATTTTGCCATTCAAATATTTAAGGTCAGTGGTTATGGACGTCTGAATTCCAAACACATTTTATCGGCATGAAGTAGACCCTAGTCTGTTGCCATACCCGTTCGATAACCTTATGTGCATATTTCCACAAGTATCAAAATCCAACAGAATCTGATTAAGGGCTTTAATTAAACGTTAAAATAGTTGGTTCAGAAATGTTTAACTTAGAGAGCACGATACATTTCCAATATTTTGTAAGTACATTGTAACTTCACTGTGTGTCTTGTTATCATTATTGATGACTTTGGTATAATCGTTGGCTCATATTTTGAATAGACCACAAGAACTAATGTGATGTATGTGATGTAAAGGCCAACAGAAAATAGATAAGATGCAGTAACATCAGGAGGATTACTAACCAATCTACCTTCTTTTGCAGAAATTGCAGGATAGTCATTGACCAGCTATCCACAACTGTGAAGATAACTGACATGCGTTTAACCTTAGAATAAGGAGCATGTAGGATGCAGTTACTTGCCCTTTTGAAATCATTTCAAACATTATGACAACTACAAGCTTATTAGAAGTGTATTACGGTGTACCGTGTGGTTTCATGGCTTGAAAAATCGATTTCATTGTGTTTCAGTAGGTAGCATAAATGTGGTTTGAAAACTGTAGTTCTGTGTAATTCTAGTTTAAACATCGTTCGTCAAGAGGTAATGTTGTAGCAAGCTCATGTTCTTTTTATGTAGATATTTGTACTTCGCATTTGACACATCTAAGGTACGCTTTGTATCAATGGCATATGGCTACATAAATATATCATAGTCTTGCAAAAGACGTATACATTGGCTGCAACTAAAGGTTATTCCCATAGACACTGGGATAAAAAGAACCCCAGGATTAGGTTTTGTCTTAAAAGTAAGCATTAAGAGCTATTACTGATAAAGGGAATCTTGACTCTAGTGTTGTTTCTTTAGAAATAAAACGGTAACGGGATTTTTGTCTGATGTGCCATATATATTTTAACAGTAATGTGTATGTAGCAGGCAAGTTATTTTGTGATAAGTAGCTAGAATTCGAAATTAAACAAGCATAGTTAAGTGCTGCTAACATAACACGTGAGGTAACAATTTGAATCCCTTGGTAAAATATTCAAACTCGAAGCTAGCCCTTTTTCCACATATAGTCATAACAACAGCCTGGAGCCAAATCTATTTTAGCTGCCGAGTCTCTGTCATATACATCCACGACCTTTCCCCGAAACCGTTCCCTACCGGCTAACGTTTGGGAGCACTCTGACCAGATTTAGGCCAGGCCTACCTTTCTACACTAATCGAAAAATTGGAGTCAAATTTGATCCCTGAACACCATGGTCGGCGGGCAAATTCGTGAATGTGTGACAAGGGCTTTAACCATGTGGACTCCGGGCTACGGTCACAACAACGTTAGATTTTGTAATTTCAAAAGAACGTAAAGTGCATTCATGGTACCCTGCGAGGCGACATATCCGTTTTGAAAATATCAGAAACAGTGAAGACTAGAGTTCAGATTTTCCGCATATATTCATGCAACCTGAAGCAAATGAGCCTCATCATAGTAAACAAGTATCTAATTTGTCGACAAAAAAGGTCGAGGGCTGAGTAGTATTGGCTCATTGTTCTGTTGTCACGCAGAAAGACGATTTTAGGTCAGAGGGCAAGTAATTTTCTGTCTAAGCCTCGAGGAGCAACAGCTGTTCAACGCAGTGACATGGAATGTATTTGAATGTTTTTGTAGGCAAAATACATTTGCGGGTTGGGTGGGGGGTATTCATAACCTCATTTAAAGCTTCTCAGGAGGAAAAATACTGAAAGTATTAAAAGTAGAGCGAAAGTCACTTTGTAGCAGGGACCTGGCGGCCATGTAAAGACAATCTGTTTTGTGATTAGCACTTTTTACTGCCAATTTATTATTTTAGCACCCCCACCTACGTGTGCTGAAGACCTTGGGCGGGATGCCCAGTATAAAATGTACTCGTGTAAAATGTAGATATTCGTCTTTTTTTTTCAAAATCGACTATAACATCTTCCTCTAGCTCTATCAATATCATACCTTAAAAAGTAGAAACACTTCGTACCTTGATCGAGATGTATACACCCAGTTGGTACTCCAACGTAAATGACTTATACGAGCAATCAAAGTGGCGTTCGTTGTTGTAACATGGCAACACATAATCATGTCTCTATATCCCTCTCTCTGTCTCTCTCAGTACCAGTCCAATACGCAACACAATGTACGAAATCCCAAACGTTCAGCCCCGAAACGCTGTTATGACTAATTGGGTTGATATTTGCAGGCACGCCTATATCATCATTAATGATCTGGTCTAGCAAGTGACGGCAGTGGCTGACTACAAGATATGAAATAAAATTTCAATGTATCATATCAAAAGCTCTGTATTGGCATTTACAGTTATTACGATAATCTTGGGCACTGTTGGCAATACTCATAATTTTAATTAAACCGAGCTACGTTTGCCAGCAAAAAGAATAGAGCCTGAAAGAATTTGAGTATCTCTATATTTGTTTCATGACGTGATGCCTCCCAGCCATTGTCCGCAGTACCGCGGGACGTGGTGAAATGTAGCTTGACGGGGGTATTGTTTTTTGTGTGTTTGCCTGCCTGTTTGTGTTTCCACATAGTTTGTCCAGCAATAACTCAAGACGCTACATGTATGGGTGAATAATGATTATATTTGTACGCCTGCAGGTGCATATTGGAAAGCTAAGAACACGTATATCCAACGAAGTGGCATTGCGTAACATACCTGTTCTGTTTGAACCTTATGCTTTGGATATGATTTATCTACTTTGTTGTTTTCAAAGCTTTCTAGATTGGTCTAGGGAGAGCTGGCAGAACATTAGACGAGTGTACTGTACTGATCGGAAGCCTATGCGGATGTCGATTTGTCCAAAGATTGAATTGGTCTGGTTCGGCTTTTGATAAAACACGATACTTTGGCGGAATCATGAATATGAGATCCTTTGCTCTGTGTACGGGCCTGTATATAACACGTACCTGCCACCATCGTCATTATTCTGCTACGGAGAGAGGTTTGCTAACTCATCAGCTGCCGAAATGGGACAGACCTAAGGTACCTCAATTTTACTAATCTTAGTTCCGTACAAAAGTACATTTAAATTACATGGGTTTCACGAATCCTGTCGTTTTCTTATGTACCTTGTGTTGGTAAAGACATATTGCTTTTCCTCGTGCCAATTATCTACCTACTTTTGGCATTTCTCGCAGTTTAAACGGCCTTTTCAAGGTCTAGTGGAGACCACCATTCAATGCATCCTAGTCCTCTCTAATGCCACGATGCCATGATCTATATGATGATTTGTAACAATTATGTTTTGTTTCGTTCTTAGGAAAACAAAGATGTCTGTGATCTACGCAGCTCCGTCGGAGAACCCGTCCGGAGGGAATGTTTCTCCCGCCTCTACGGAAGAGGCAGGCGGCGGTACCCCCGATGGTGCCGCTTCCGGGAACCAAACTCATCCCCCAGGCACCACAGACGTCATCGGCACAGAGGCAGAAGATACAGGCCATGAAGATGCCTCTTACAGCCACCACATCCCTTTTAAAGCCTCGACAGAACAGACAAGCCTCACCTCCAGGAGGGCCCCAAACTACACTGATCTCAAACCCACCTCGACCCCACAGGAGCCATGTAGCCATGATGATTCATCTTACTGCCACCCCAGCCCTGGTACAGAATCCACAGAGGATACAGGAAGTAGCCATGAAGATGCCGCCTCGTACATCCACCACATCCCTTTTAAGGCCTCGACAGAACAGACAAGCCTCACCTCCAGGGACGGGCCCCCAAACTACACTGATCTCAAACCCACCGTCGGACCCCACAGGAGCCATGTAGCCATGATGATTCATCTTACTGCCACCCCAGCCCTGGTACAGAATCCACAGAGGATACCGGCAGTAGCCATGAAGATGCCGCCTCGTACAGCCACCACATCCCTTTTAAGGACTCGAAAGACAGACAAGCCTCACCTCCAGGAGGGCCCCAAACTACACCGATCTCAAACCCACCTCGACCCCACAAGAGCCATGTAGCCATGATGATTCATCTTACTGCCACCCCATGCCTGGTACAGAATCCACAGAGGATACAGGCAGTGGCCACCAAGATGCTTCATACTGCCACCACATCCCTTTTAAAGGCTCGAAAGAACAGACAGGCCTCAACTCCAGTAGGGCCCAAAACTACACCGATCTCAAACCCACCGGTACCTCGACCCCACAAGAGAAGAGCGGCGAAGACTACGCCCATCTGTACCGTACGTTGGACCACGTGGTGGTGTCCTCCGATCATCCCTACGACAAGCCTGAAGATGTTTACAACAAACCGGAGGATGTTTACGACAAGGCTGAGGATGTTTACAGATACAAGGATCCCGAGGAAGTTAGCTGTGCTTACAAGGCTAGAGGTACGTCAATTTAAGCTCAGTAGTCTCCATCAGACTAATAAAGCGGGTTTGAAAATACATACAAAAATTTAGCCGAATAGGGTGCATAATTGTCCAGGGGACTTCAACCACCGTAGAGGTCATTTGTCCGCATATTTATGAAACTCCCAAGGTGGACCCACTCAACTGGGCAGTTAGACCCAATTTTGCACATTCTACCATCCAAACCACTTTAGCAAGGTCTAGTGGAGGATAAAAGTGTAGTGATGTGAGATACTTTGAAGGCTTCTGGGCAAAAACACATTACAGATCGAAAATCTTAACATTGTTAATTTTTCTCTCTACTTTTTCAATGGTAGAGAATGTCCGAAAAGAACATTAATCACTAGCTATGTAAAAAGCTAAACAATTACACACCGGATTTTGGTTCGCAAGATCTTACATTGTGGACACAGAAGGCCTAGATAAAGTTCATTTTCACTACAGACAGTGATTTGTATCTTTTAGCACATGCATAGTACGTAAAAACGTAGTTTATAATATGGAACTGAATATGAATAGGTAGGCTTACATTGTAGTATCACGGTGTTACATTTTTATTTAATGACTGTAGAATATGTATAAGGTATACATGCATACATTATATAAAACGCTGGGAATTTGATGTTGATATCAGTACGTTACTTGTCTATGATTATAATTAGGATGGTGACTATTGGCTCTTTTGCTGCTTAACAGTGACATGCTTGGACATTCATGAATGTACTCTGATAATAGGGCTGTGTGTTTTGATAGAGAACTAGACAATAAGACATTATTTGTACTTCAGTTTCAAAAGGTACTGGGCGATATTTTGCGGTTAGCCGGGCGTCAGTTTTGTCACCCTGCCTTTCTTCTCCTGCTGTTGGTACTCATTGTACTAGATAGATACTAGTACTCCTTTCTGTATTAGTGCACCTGTGCGCAGTGCATGGTCCAGTTGTTATTGTATAGTCATCCATCGTCAGCCGCTTGTCAATGTAGGCCGTCATTGTCCTCAATACTGTCTGGACATCCAGATGCGCATAGATATGCGTTTAGAGGAAGGATCTTCAAGTGACCTCTTTAAAGGTATTATTCTCAGCACATAGCCAAGCCTGTTCAGTCCGCCGCTGGTGGAAGTGGTACCAATAACATCCTGTACACAGTAGCAAATATGATATGTCGACAACGTGGTTTGATGCTTCCATGTTGAGGATATCATAGGCTTAATGCCTTTTCAGCTATTCTGTGGTATGATATTTCAGAGCGTGTTGTGGAGATGTGGAACAGTGTTAAGCTCAGCGGCGTGTTTTGGGGTTGCCTTGTCTGCGGACTCCTGCTTGTGACGTCAGCTGTCACAGCTTCAATCCTCTTCACTCATTTCCTTTCTGGAAAAGCGGTGAGCCTTTTTCTCCCTTCATTTATTATTTTACTGTGTAAAATTGAAATGGCACCAAAATGTTTGCAACCTAAAATTGAATTGGCACAAAAGCAAACAAACAATTGAAACACAACAAGACTGGAACCAAAAACGGAAAAGAAGTGATGACAGAAATGATAGAACCTTCACGAAAAAGGCGATATCTTAGTAAATCCAGGGCTGATCATAAGTATTACTTTTGCATTGTGATGCACAATATTTGATTTATTTATTTAATAATTGATTTCTAGATTAAGCATTTCGCGTCTCCCCTAATATTTTGGGTCAAAAATGATCTTCATAATCAAATTGAAAAAAAGGGGTCTGGATGAGGGGGGGGGCAGTCATATGATATGCTTTCCCTGTTAATCTCTATCACTGCAATTATAAAAACTAGGTTTTGTGGTCAAAATAATGTAATCTCTTTCCGAATTGGACTATATAGATTTAACATAGATCAGAATCAACTGAAAATAGGCAAGGTTACATAGGAAAACAATGCAACTTTTATTTGAACTCATAGCTATTGAGAAAATACCTAGGATATGTTGGCGTTATTACCTACACACGATGTGAAATATTCCATACATAACGCTTTATAAGCCTTCAGTTGGTGTTTGAAAACTGTGTACCCGTTTGTATGCTAAATAAAAGGATCAGGCCGACTTGATGGGGAATAGTTCGGAGCTACAGGAAACATCAAACTGGACAATCGTCAATTTCGACTTCGTGACTTTTCCCACGACTGTCGTCTACCTGTCGGTCACAGGTACGCATTGTTTTTGTTTTGTTTGTTTTTTTACTCAATGAAGGACACCCCAATGTTACGAGTAACAGGACTGGAACAGCATCTTATCTCCGCAAGCCAGGAACATAATAATTGAGACAGGCTCGACTCAATGAGAGTGAGGGTTAGCTGACCCATCACAAGAAGAAGACCTAGGGGTACGAAGGCTATTCGGGAGGGGCCTGTTGTATCCAGAACCGTGCTTTATCCAGAACTATGGTCAGGCGCGGTTCTGGATAGTCCACGCGTATTAAGAACCGTGGCAGGTCTACGTTCTCAGCTTATGCTGAGGTCACGTTTTTATGCCGGGATGTTCCGATTAACCAAAAATCAACAATGTATATTAAAAATATACGCAAATAGTTCCCATTATTAATTTTTCCAACTTTTTTTGGTGCTCTGTAGCCTTTTGTATCACACTTTTCGTTCTATAAGACTGCCTGGCCGGGCCTCGCTTTGGAAATGTAACCTCAGCATTAGATACGTTTAGATCATCCATAACCTACCCATAACCCATTCAGTTATAGAAACACAGGTATAGATTGTAGGCACGGTTCTAGGTAAAATAGGGCCCTATCTATTTTGTGAATTTATTACGAATTTCCTGGCATCGGACCGTGCCCTGTCAGGGGTTTGAATTCAGGACTGGTCACGAGTGTGTGACCAGTGCGTTGGTGTGTGTGACTCTGATCTTCTGATCTAAAATCGTCTGATCTAACCAGCAGGAATGAAATGAATGTATGCAATTTTCACTTGCATAACCCTCCTGAATAGACATACAAAATGTAGAAGGACAAAAACGTGGCCTTTCAAAACAAGACAAACTTCGTGACATAAAGGTCCTACATTTTCCTATTGTCCGACAGTGACTCAATCAATGTTGACACACATAAAGCTCTTTATTCAGAAACTGAATCATAGTCTGCAGAATCTATCAGATCCAAGCAAACTTAGATGATTGGTGGTCAGGGTAAGGTTATTTGAATGTATGACAGGGGCCTTAGCTGCATGTCTTTTTCTGACAACACAGACATAGATGAGTGTGCCAGCAAACCACGGCCATGCCTACATGGAACCTGTGTGAACAAAGATGGCGGATACAACTGCACCTGCTCTCCCGGATGGACTGGACAGGACTGTCAGCAAGGTAAGTTATTGCCAGTTTATAAACGTATTTCCTCAGTGTCTTATATGATTACAAAGCCATTTATTTCCTGAGAGATTTCCATACTACTGGTTTGCAGAGGATGAAGTTAAAATGACTAGCGTTGAACATGCAAGACTGAGTTTATGACTAGCAAGATTTGGTCACAAGGTACTATTCCATTCAACTCCCACAGACATAAACGAGTGTGCCAGCAAACCATGCCTACATGGAACATGTGAGAACAAAGATGGCGGATACATGTGTATCTGCTCATCTGGATGGACCGGACAGAACTGTCAGCAAGGTGAGTTGATTTTCTTCCGTCTTCCTCCGTGGTCAAAAAGGAAGGTTTTGTGTATATTCTTTTCTTTTCTTTTCTTTCTTTCTTTCTTTGTATCTACACTAAACAACAAATTGAAAGTCATCACCCCCCCGTTAAATTAATTGTTCAGCAACAGACTTAAAACGTGGATTGAATTTAGCTTAATATCTGAATAGAATCAAATTGCCATTGCCAAGAGTTCATTCAATTAACTCCAATTAAAATAAGATCAAGATTTGTGTTTTTCATCACACAGACATAAATGAGTGTGCCAGCAAACCGTGCCATTATGGAATCTGTGTGAACCAAGATGGCGGATACAAATGTACCTGCTCATCTGGATGGACTGGACAGAACTGTCAGCAAGGTGAGATGTTCCTTAATTTCATTAAAGTTGCTTCAAAGGAAGTCTTAAAATGTGGTTTTCAGTTGATTTCATATATTACTCCTAGTATTCAGACTTTTTTAAAACCATCTTCATTTGGTGATGATATATTTTTCCGTCACAAAGCTAGAGACCCAAATGAATTAATTCTTTTTCCATGTTCTGCTCCCAAATCTTGAAACTTTTGTTTAAGATCATGCTTTAAATAACGTATCAACTTCATTTAGTAATAAGATTTTTCCATCATAAAACAGACATAAATGAGTGCAGCAGGAGCCCATGTCAGCATGGAACCTGTGCGAATCACGTTGGCGGATATACATGCAGCTGCTCACATGGATGGACTGGACAGAACTGTCAGCAAGGTGAGCTGTCCCTTAATGTTATCAAAGTCGCTTCAAAGGAAGTTTTACAATATGTTGATTTCATATCCTATTCCCAGTCTTCAGACTTTCTTTTTTTTAACCATGTTTCAATTAGTTTCATTAATATTTTCTGATGATATATTTTCCATGAATGAATGCATTGTTTTTCCATGTTCTGCTCCCAAATCTTTAAACTTTTGTCTAAAGTCATGCTTTAAGTAACAAGTTATCACTTCATTTAGTAATACCACTTTTTCATCATAAAACAGACAGAAATGAGTGTAACATGAACCCATGTCAACATGGAACCTGTGCAAACCAACATGGCGGATACAAATGTACCTGCTCACCCGGATGGACTGGACACAACTGTCACCAAAGTGAGTTATATAATTGCAAAGCGTTTAGCTCCTTCTTCCACAAAATGATATTCCTTGTAATTGAATGTAAATCCATTTTTGTAATCAAGAAGAATATCAATACGTCTTCCTCTGTAAGAGAGGCCAGTAGAGTGAGTTGTTTCTTTCAAGACTTGCCACAGAGGTATTGAATGACCACGAGTGGTAAGTACAATTTGCTAATGCTTATATGCCACATACACTAGCACATCAGTCATAAGCAGGAGGCACGAGATCTGTATAAATGTCACATGATATATGTTTGATCATCTAAACACTTTTTCTTTATAGACTAGTACAGAAAAAGGATGTTTTGCAGTTGGGTTTGGCACATGGATTATGATGTCAAAATTACTAGCATTTACGCCTTTAATCATAGATGATCTAGCCAAGTCGAGCTCGTTTTTTTCTGCTGGGGCACATCCACATAAAAAGAGACTCTTGTTTGGCACTTTATATAGCCTCTTTCCACGAGTGGTGGAAGGAACAGGAATGCCGTCTAAATGATCCTGGCTAAATCCGATGTGCATTCTGAAAATTCGGGGTTTACTCCAAATATATATAACAAGCCGCGATATAATTATGGAAAAACGTTTTAATTATGGACTCCCACCCATAAATCCCAAACGCTTAACCCAACTGTCTTAATACTTTTTATGGTAACATATTAGGTGGTAATGAATATGCGGAAAGCGTTGATGAGTCCCTTGGGAATAGTCAAATTATAGATAATTATACTATAATTATGTATAATTATACATAATGATTTTGGTATTATACATAATTATACATAACCCTTTGGACCATTATACATAATTATAGATAAGCCTTTGGAC